TTCTAAACTAAAATTTTACCCTCAGTACCAGGGTTCAAACCCAGAGCTTTGCACAATTCCACACAAATGCTCTAACACCAAATCCAACAGTTAATTCCCACTTCACATCCAAATCTATTCTCCAGCCCCCATCTGCCTGAACAAATAAACCCTTCTTCCATTTATCTAGGTCAGATGTTTGGCAAACTGTTTTCTGGAAATAGCCATTACTTTATACTTTGTACTTAATACACTCAGCCCAAGTTGCCATTGAGTGGAAAGCTGGCATTGTTAGGTGCCACAACTAAACCCAAAGTAATGCACTTGGGCATGTGATCAAGTGTTTTAACTACCTGCTTTTCCAAGCCAAAGTGACTTTGCCAACTCCAGGTTGGGGTTAATACTCAAAATTAGAATGTTAAGCTTTGATCCACTTATCTATACTATAAAATCAGAACTAGGTCAAATTTATACAGCTAGCCTCGAAACAGAAACAACTATTAAATGGCATCATTTTTGTTCAATCTTGCTAAGACTGTAAGAAAACAGACAATACGTAAAAGTGAGTGACAAAATTAATAAAGGAGGGCTAAGGAGATGGCTCAGGCTAGACAGTAGTGGATTGAACACTCTGGCCTCCAGCACTTCAAAGTGAGGCAACAATAAAGTGACAGCATGGCAAAGGAATTGAGCAGCTCACCGGCTGCCTGGGCCCAGGCTCTAAATATACTCAACTAGTATGAGGGAGGTTGTTTTTGTTTTTTGTTTTTTTAAATTTCTGAGTGGGGTGGGGAACTGTAGAATACAAAGAACGAGCAAGCAACAAGGAGCTAAACCAAAAAGATGGTACAATGAGCTTGGGGTGGTGCCAAAGCCTGAAACCCCCAGCATTCACCAGACTGAAGGAGGAATATCTTAAGTTGAATAAAGGCCAGCCTTGGCTACACTTGGACTTTCTAAGGAGCCCTACTAGATACAGAGACTAACACTTCCCCCACCACCAAAAAGTCAAGCAGCCAATATGGAGCAATACTACTAAACTCATCCTAAAATAAACTTTAGTCACCTTCTAAATCCAGTGCAAACGCACATGGGCATGTGACAGCACTACTGTGACAAGTGACACACCTTCCAAGTCACTAAGTACTCTGCATGAAATGTTACTGACAATAACCACAACAGTCCCAAGTTTATGATCACTTGTTCTCACTGTAATGAACATAAATAACATCAAGCCTCTCTGATAGTTTTTTCTTTTTTAACTACATTTTTAGGGGCTTGAGAGAGAGCTCAGCAGTTAAGAGCTCTTGTAAAACCCAAGTTTCATTCTCAGTACCACACGGCGGCTCACATCACCTCTAACTCCAGTTCCAGGGGAATCTGACACCCTCTCCTCTGGCTTCTAAAGGCACCAGGCACACACATGGTGCACACACATAGATGCAGAAAAAAAACACTCAAACATTAAAAAAAAACTTAATTAAATTTTGGCAAGGGCGGGAAGGGGCATGCCAAGGAATACATGGGGCCAGGAGGGCACAACCTGTGGAAGGGGTTCTCCTTCCACCACAGGGGTCAAACTCACGTCAACCAGGCTTGGTGTGAGTCCCTTTACTGCTAAGCCATCTTGCTGCCACCAACAGCAGTTTTTTGAAGACCTAAAATTCAGGGACCATATTCCCATTGTAACAGTGTTGGGCCTACGAACACCACTTATCAAAGGTCTTGTGAGCACCTATGTCATAGTTAGGGGGTTCTTGGCATTTTTTTTTTAAATCTTTTTTTTTTTTTTGAGACAGGATTCCTGTGTAGCCCTGTCTGTTCTGGAACTCGTTCTGTAGACCAGGATGGCCTTGAACTCAGATCCGCCTGCCTCTGCCTCCCAGTGCTTGGATTAAAGACGGGTGCCACCACCACCTGGCCCCTTTCATCTTTTTAAAAGCTGCTTCTAAGCAGAGAAAGGCCATGACACATGCAGGAAGAGGCTAAGTCAGACCTGTCTGTGCTGAGGTAACAATGTAACTGATGCTGAATGATTTTAGAATCTTTGCTATCAAGAAGTGGCTGGCAGTTGGATCCTAACATCTTCAGTACGGTAAGATACAAAACCCAGTCCCTTCACGTTTACACTATGAACAGTCACTGCAGTACAAGAAAGACTACCCCACTGTTACAGAGCTACATGAGAAAGAACACACCACTCACCATCGTTTAGGGCCTCAATGGCAGCCCCCTTCTTTTCATTTGCTTGATCCATCATCTCCTCAGTGATCTGCCAGGAAAGTGAAGGTCATCTCATTAGCAGAGAAGCAAGCATGAGAAGGAGCAGTGTGGACTTTAAGGACCACAGTCACTCCCACACTCATGTGCTCACCTCTAGTAGTGAAAAACCGTGATGTTACCTTTAAACATTTCACACCTGCCTTAGGAAGGACTTATGTATCCAATCATCTATCCTACTCCATGGGAACTATTTATGACAATTAAATCCAGTCTCTTCATAAAACGCAAACTAGTGCCTTTCACACTTCCGTCAGAGAAGACACAGGTCTTACCTCTTTATTTCCATAAAAATCTTGTGAGCAGCTACACTAGTTTCAGGACAAATACAAGAACACTGATGACAGCAGAGACCAGTAAGACGTATGCTCGATATCCTACCGAAAGCTGAATGCTTGGCCATAACTTTAACCACATCCACCTATCGCCTCGACTGTGGCAAACACCTGCAGGTGCCGACTAAGAAAACGATCTCTGCCAAGCACTGAAAGCACAGCCTTAATCGCAGTACTCAGGAGGCAAAAGCAGGAGAATCTTTGAGGTCAAGGCCAACCTGGTCTACATAATCAGTTCCAGACAATTAGGGCTACACAGTTAAGACCCTGTCGTGGTGGTGATGGTGGTGGTGGTGGTGGTGGTGGTGGTGGTGGTGGTGGTGGTGGTGGTAGTAGAGCAGCAGGAAGAGGAGATGGAAATGATTTGCTTGTCTAAGAACAGAAAGGAAAGTAGCTACCTTTACATCTAACTAGAAAATTCCATAGAGGTGACAAGTTACTTGATCTGTAAAACAAGAACAATACAATACAAAAACACCAAGCAAGCCAGTTGTGGTAGCACACATCTTCATCCCTGCTGCAAGCCGCAGGAAAACATAATGGAATTCAGCTACTATCACAAAAGCTACTACTTGGAAAAGTCAAGGACTTCTCCAAAGGTCAAGCCATGGCTTAAGGAGTCTTGGTGATATTTTAGCTTTTTTATATATGTATATTAGCTGGGTGAGACCCTCCTTTCTTATACAACCTTACTAATAGACCCCTAACTTCTTACCTAACCACTTCTAGGAGTGTAGACTGAGCACACAGATCCACTTTTTAATATACAAACTGGTCATTAGCACTCAGGTGACCTCCTCTTTTACTACTCCCATTTTGGATTGTAAAAGAAATCCTGGTGATCACTGCCTGAGGAAAATTCTTACCTGCCTTTATGACCCTGTAGAATTCAAGCCTGGTGACCTTGCTGGACCAGGGGCTTGCTATCGCTTGGGTTTATAATTGGTTTATAACTCCGGGGAGACTTAAGAGAAAATGTGGAGAATTTAAGAGAGGGAGAACAGAGAGAGATAAGAAGGATTTTGACCAGTGAGTATGTGTGGACGAGATGGAAGATGAGGAAGAGTCAGATGGGGAAGTACTAGCTGGGTAAGAACAAGATGAAAAGGACCTAGATGAGGCAGAATTAAGACGAGAGAATTAAGATAGAACTTAGAGGGAGCAGATGAACATAGAAATCAGGCAAGAAAGGAGCTAGGCATGAGAACAGAACTGAAGCTGTGTATAAAGGATGTTATGCCAGAGGAATTAAAGCAAGTGGACTACAGAGCTCGGTGTGCTGAGATTCTATTTCCCCAAAAACAGTCCTCACCGTTAGTAGTTCTCTCTCCTGAGCCCCTGGGATGTATAATATTAAGGCTGGTCCCTCTAATATTATACAAGACATCCCAGCACTCAGGAGGTGGAGGGAGAGGCCAAAGGCCTGCTCAAAACCCAAGGCCAGCATGGTTTACTGAGTAAGACTCTTACAATGCAAAACAGCAACAAAAAGCAAAGTCAGAGTTCCTGTACACCACAAAACATTGTATAAAACAGAAACTAAGCCTAGAAACAGTTCCAAGATCACCTAAGACTTCTACAAACAAACAAAAAAGTAAAATTCTATCAAAGAAACATAAAAAGACTTCCAAGAAAATTTTATGTCACACATATAAAAATGGCTTTATGTATCTATATGCAACTCAGGACACACAAATCAAAGAAAATGTAGTAATGTCTCACTGAGTCTGACATATTTCACTTAACAGGATTTCCAGATGGACCTATTTTCCAACAAATATAATTTCATTCTTCTTTACAGTTTAGTAAAAATCCACTGTCGGGGCTGGAGATATGGCTCAGAGGTTAAGAGCACCGACTGCTCTTCCAGAGGTCCTGAGTTCAATTCCCAGCACCCACATGGTGGCTCACAACCTTCTGTAATGACATCTGGTACCCTCTTCTGGCCTGCAGGTATGCAGGCAGAACACTGTATACATAAATAAATACATCTTTAAAAAAAAAAAAAAACAAAACAAAACAAAACTGAGTAGTAGGAAGTGTGGCCATGTCGGAGTAGATGTGTCCTTGTTGGAGGTGTTGCTGGGGGTGGGCTTTAAAGTTTCAAAACCCCACAACCAGGTCCAGTGCCTCTCTTTGCGGGCTGCCTGTGGCTCAGAATATAGAGCTCTCAGCTACTGCTCCAGCCGCCTGTCCCTATCATGATGATAATGAACCAACTCTCAGAAACTGTTAAGAAAGCCCTCAGTTCAATGCTTTCTTTCTAAGAGTCACCTTGGTCAGGTGTCTTTTCACAGCACTAGGGAACCCACTCACCTGTAACTAACTTGACTATTGTGACAGTGTCGCAACAGGCATGGACATCCAAGTGTGCCTGTCTATGGCATGCTGACCTACAAGTCTATTCTAGAGGGAATGGGTAGAGAGAGAACACTCACAGTTGAAGAACATGATATACTTCACTGTCTTTATGAGGAAATGAAAAAGGGCAATTACTCCGATTTGATCAGTATACACTGTATGTATTGAAATTATCACACCATGCTTGAAAAATATAGTTTTGTGTTAAAGACAAAAGTAAATTTCTTAGATCTATATCATAGTAATTGTCTTCACTGAAATATTTTAATCTACTTCTAAGTTATTTATTAAATTCTTTTGACAAATTAGAAAACATGTTTTTTTAAAAAAAGTCAGAAACAGTTCAAATAACTAAACAGCATTTTAGACAATTAAATCTACATTTACCCTTGTAGCGAATGTCAAACCTGATACCCTGGTATTTTGTTTTTGAAGACAAGGCAGAACACCACACACAAACTATACATTCAGATGAAGAACAATGTGGGTAGGTTAACCACCACGACTTCAAATGAATCTCAAGCTGGAAATGCCTACACTGACAAGCACATGGTAAGCAAAACCTAACCCTCTTTTCCAAAAGGGACAGTCGAGTAGAGATGGAGAGGGGAAAGCACTCCTGAAAATCCATAACTGGGCTGGTGAGATGTCTCAGCAAGCAAAGGTGCTTGCAACTCTAATCAAATCTCCCTACCCCATGTCTCTTTCTCCTCCACTCTTGAGAGAGAGGAAGAGAGGAAGAGAAGGGGGGAAGGGAGGGAGAGAGAGAGAGAATGTGTAGAAAGAGAAGGGAACTGAGAATGGCCTACACTGGAACAGGAGACCGAGACAGTCTAATTCTAAAATTTATTTGAAAAAAACAAAACACCAAGAACAGCTAAAATATTCATCAAGTTTCATGAGTCCTTATCCTGCCAGATAACAGACTTTAGTCCACAGCTGTGTAAGAAAATGTGGCATTAGTACAGAGAAAGGATTTAAGACATGCAGAACAATAGCGTCCCCAGAGGGCCACACACAGTAAGCAGTATGTCAGTGCTGATGAAAACAAACTCCAATAAAAGTTCTGTTGAGTAAATGAACGACAAAATACAACACTTTGAGCATGGTGATATACTTTTGTAATACTAACAATTGGGAGATTGAAGCTATAGAACCACCTTGTTTGAGGACAGTTTGGGCTACACGAGATGCTTAGATAGATAGGTAGGTAGGTAGGTAATCAGAAGGAGGAGCTTCAGATATAGGTTGGTTGAGTGCTTGCCTAGCATGTACAAAGCCCTGGATTTCATCACCAGCATCCCGTAAAATCGGCCGTAGTGGCAAAACCTGTATTTGGAGCATTTGGGGAGCTAAAACAAAAATTTCCAAGTCAGCCTGAACTAAGAGACCCGTCCCAAAAAAAAGGTGAGAGGAGAAGCATAAGAAAGGAAAAGACAACTTAAGAAAAATTGGGAAAGGTCTGAACAGGATTGCACAAATGCCCACCAATGACCAAAATAGACCAGAATGTGCTCAAGCCTCTCAGAAGTCAGGACAATGTAAGCAAAAAGCCTCAAGAACAGACAGCTTCACATGCGACTAGCAAAGATGACTCTGACGCGACCAGGTGCTGAAGATGCACTGCACTACTGTTTACAAACTTCTTCCCTCAGCTGAGACCACGAGACATTTGCAGATGTCCTGTCGCCCTTTAGAAGGCCATTATCACGGTTAATTTAAACTGCTTTCCACACCTCTTTCCCAAATGCCAGTTTTCACCTCTTTGAGGAGGAACTCCCTGTGATAAAAGCATTTGAAAAATAATGTGCCACTAGATATTCCATCAAAAGACAATTTTACACCAGGGATGGTGACACATCCCAGTACTTGGGAGGCAGAAGCAGGCAGAACTCTGTGAGTTCAAGGCCAGCCTTGTATACAAAGTGGGTTCCAGGACAGCCAGGGCTGTTATACAGAGAAATTTTTTATACAGAGAAACAAAAACAAAATAAAACAAAAAGACAAATCTAGGAGGTTCAACAGTTAAGAGCACTGGCTGCTTTTCCAGAGCACCTCTCAGTTCAAGTCCCAGCACCCACATGGCGGCTCACAACAGTCTGTAACTCCAGTTCCTGGGGATCAACATCCTTTTCTGGCTTCCCTGGACATCAGGCATGCACATGGTGCACAGATATAATTGCAAATAAAAATATTAATACAAATAAAAAAATCATCTCAGAAAGACAATCTAATTGTAGGTATATACTTTAAGGGAATGACTTTATAGATTAATCAAACTAATTTTAAATAAGTAAAACAAAATACAAGATTTCAGAGATTATCATTAAAACTACCATGGGAATTTACAAATATTTTAGGTAGTAAGATTGAAAAATGTGCCAAAATGCTATAACACACACACACACACACACACACACACACACACACACACACACACACAGACACCTGTACACATCAAATAAAAACTTTAAAAAAGATTACTACTTATCATGTAGTTCTTGTGAGTAATGTTATAAAATAATCCCAAACCCGGGAAACATCACTTTCCTAAAATAAGTCATTAAACTTACCTCTGCATTATCATCTCCCATCTCTTGAGGGGCATCAGTGTCTGGCTCAATTACACCCTCACAGTCAATTTCTACAAAAGTTGAAAACCATGAAGTTAAAACCTAAATAAAAAGTGTGGGATAGCCTAATAGCCACTACTTACTTGAAACTATTAAAATCAGATGAACTGATCATGGTGCAGCACAGGATTAAAGTACTTGCCTAGTGTCTTGGAGGTTACAGATATTGTTTAGAGTAACACCTCAGAAAGACCATGAACTAGTTGCTAGTATAACAATGAACTAGTTTCACCTGAACTTTGATACATTATAAACTACTTCCCTGTTAAAAGTAACTACTAATAACTATTAGTAGGTAAGCCTACTACTTAGGGGTAGGCTGGAGAGATGGCTCTGGGGTTAAGAGCACTGGCTATTCTTTCAGAGGACACAGATTTGATTCCTAGCACCCACGTGATGGCTCATGACTATCCATCAACTCCAGTTCCAGGCAATCTGATGTCCTCTTCTGGCTTCTGAGTGCAACAGGTATGCACATGATGTATACATACACATACAGACACCTGTACACCTCAAATAAAAACTTTAAAAAAAGTTTTAATTTTAAGTCTTAATTTAATTAAGACTACTACTTAATTTGTCAGGCTAAATCAGATAATTATTGTAGCGATAGTGATGGTAATGTGCACAGTGTATTACATAACACCATACCACTGGTTTAGTCAGTCTCCAAAATTCCCTTGGGAAAAATTTGAGGTCAGAGAGATAGGACTCAGCGGGTGAGTGCTTGCTCCAAAGCCTGAAGTTGAGTTCCTTCTCTGGAACTCCACACAGTAAAGGAGAAAACTGACTCCCAAGAGTTTTCTCTGACCTCCACAAAACCTTCCCCCATCAGCAAATTAACAAGCTCCTCTAAAAATTTTTTCAGAGATGTACCACAATGTTTTAAAAAATTAATGCAGACAGTACAAATTATAGAGTAATTGTAGCTAATGACAAAATACTATTTAATTTTAATGCAATTAACTTTAAAAGCAGGTGTACACAAATTCTATAAAACAGAGGAAAAAGTCTGTAGGTCAGTATTATAACCAAACCAGTAAATAAAACTAGCCACCGGGCACTCAGGAGGCTGAGGCAGGAGGACTACCTCAAATTCAAGGCCACTTGTGCTATACTGTTCCAGATCATCCTGGGCTACAAACTGAGAGGCTGCAACAACAACCGCTAAACAAAAATACCACCCACAGGACTGAGTTACCAAGATTATCTAAACATATTCCGGTGTGCTCACCTAGATCACTCTCCTCACTTGACAGTTCATCCGTCTTTATGTTTTCCTCTGTCTTAGTGTCTCCTTTTTCTTCCTAACAGAATAAAATTGAATAGTGCAATCAGTACTTAAAAACTAACATATGTTTGTGTATGTATATATAATATATATAAAAATTTGTATCTTATTCAAATACACTATATTTCAGTTGTTAACCATCCTTTTACTTCTCATTTTTAATTAACTATAGGCCTGATACTTTATCCAAACCTTTAGGATAGGTATTTTAGAACTGAAATGTCTGGGAATACAATTCATATACTACACGCTACATAACATTCTTCCACAGGCACTGTACGTACGCTATGACTTCCATAATCTAACATCTTGGCTGTACATGGAAACTCCAGCCTATAACCACAGCATTCAGACAGAAGTCTGAGGATTAGGAGCTTATGAGGCCAGCTTACTTGGTATGAGACTGTCTCAGAAAACAATATGAAAAGAAATAATATTTTATGCGAAATAAATCATACTATTCATGGCTGACGGTAAACGACTGAAAACTAATGAGACAGTAGGGTCATCTGAGGACAGGAGTTTGAGGTCAGTCTGGGCAGTAACATGAGACTGTATGTGAAAGGAACACGTTTTCAGATTGTGCTTGCTTTTCTTTTTCGGGACAGAGTTTCTCTGTGCAGCCCTGGCTATCCTGAACTCACTCTGTAGATCTGCCTGCCTCTGCCTCCCAAGTGCTGGGATTGTGTTTTAATGCCAAATGTGTCCTGAATACTTCAGTTTTCAAGGGTTATTCTGTTTGAAAACTGCAAAGAAAGCATCAGTTGAATTGTAACAAACCATAGCAACTTTAAAAAAGAGAGCATGATGGCAAGCAAATTTCCTCCCCACCCTCCAGTACCCCAGTTTCTTATCCATTCTGATACAGGAGGGATAGGAGATAAATTTACACTGCCTTCTCCTTTAATGAGGCCATGTATATTACAGAAGAAAAAAAAATCACTATCAGCCAACCTCGATCTCCTCATCCAACTGTCAGCAAATCAGTAGTAATTTAACTGTACTTTTAGGTTCCCCTCCACTTTCAATCTTAAAAAAAAACCAAAGTCAGGCCAGGAGTGGTGGCATATGCCTTTAATCCCAGCACTCAGCAGATCTCTTTGAATTAGGAGGCCAGCCTGGTCTACAAAAATTCCAGGCCTGCCAGGGATACACAGTAAAACTGCCTCCCCAAAAAAAGCAAGATGGCTTCACAGGTAAAGTCTAAGTCTCTACTTTAATTCTAAAATATTTGTTGAGTAACAAATGTACAAATTGTTGATATGTTAGCATATACTTCTATCACCGAAAATTTTGTTTTTTGAGATAGTGTGGTAGTTTGAATAAAAATGGTGCACATAGGCTCATATATTTGAATGCTGAGTCACCACTGAGAGGCACTATTTATTTGAAAGGATTAGGATATGTGGCCTTGACGGCGGAAGTGTGTCGTCACTGGGAGTGGGCTTTGAGGTTTCACAGGCCCAAGTCAGTTCAGTGTCTCCCTCTCTGTCTACAGATCAGGATGTAAGTCTCAGCTACTTCTTCAGTGCCTTGCCTGCAGCCACACTTCCTGCCATGATAATAATGGACTAATCCTCTGAAACTGTAAGCTAGCCCCCAATTAAATGCTTCTGGCCATCAGAAAGAAAACGAGGGCAGAAATATGGCCACCACACCTAGCTTCACTATGAACTTTTAAAGCATCGGAATTACTAAAAACTGGGGGACTTCTAAAGTTTTACATTTTATATTAACATAAGACCTTAGAGACAAACAAGGGAAGGTCATGGTTAAAAATGTTTGTCAAGGTTGACAAAAGGTGAAATGTCATGGTTAACTTCACCTGTTGATTTGACATAAACCTATCGTCAGCTGGGAATAGAGAGCCTCACTTGAACTGACCAGACCAGACTGTCCTGCAGCCTTCCTTGTAAGACATTTTCTTAATTGCTAATTGACATAGGAGGGTCCAGCCAACTGTGGGAGGTACCAACTATAGGCAGGTGGGCTTGGGCTGTGTATCTAAGCCATCTATTAAGTATCATTCCTCCACGGTTTCTGCTTCAGTTTCTGCCTCCAGGTCCCTACCCTAACCTCCTATCCTGGCTTCCCTTTATGATGGACTGAAACCTATCAGCTGAAATACACCCTTTCCTCCCCAAGTTGTTTCTGGTCATAGGGTTTATAAAGCAACAAAAAGCCACTACACCTATAGCTTGGGGTTTTGAGATAGGGTCTGTGTGTAACCTGGACTGTCCTGGAACTTGCTCTATAGACCAGGCTGGCCTCAAGTTCAGAGATCCACTTGTTTCTTTCTCCCCAACACTGAGATTAAAGGTGTGCACCGCCATAACCATGCAACACCCAGCTTTTTATTTAAGTATGGGCTGGGAATCCAAACTCGGGCTCTCATGTAAAAAGTAAAGCATGTATTTAAAAACTGAGCCATCTTGTGAGCTTTCATTTTTTCCTTTTGTTGGGGGGAAGGTCTCACTAGGTAATCCAGAATGGCCTGGAGCTCATTATGTAACACAAGATGACCTAAATTCTCGGTCTACTTGCCTCTGTCTCACAAGTACTGAGATTACAAGCATTTATCATTACATCTGGATTATAACTTCTATTTTCTTTTACAAATAATTAAGCCTTTAGGGTTCCATGGAAAACAGATTTTTCCCATCAATCAGACAACTAATCAGAAAACTGGGGGGTTGGGAATCTTAGTACAGGAGAAATGAAAACTATTGAAGAACGTGTTAAGTGTTATTTACCCCTTCATATCCAAACTTCAACATTGAGCAACCTCCCCCAATCTTGCATGCCATTCGACCAAGTGTGCTAAAACAAAACCATGATTCTACTCTTCATCCTTGGCAATCTCCCCTCAGGTAGCAGGGAGGGAGAATGAGAATGCTCTGAGGCATTTATTTCCCTGTGCTGCTACTAAAGAGACAAGGAAGAACAGTCCAGAGTCCACTATTTACAAGCTATTAAACACACAGGCAACATTATTCTGAAACAGCTTGCATCCAACTCCAAATTCTCAGTTTTAAATCAGCTTCCAGATTTGATTTAAGAGAAAAATTTTAAAGACAATAAATTTAAAAGATCATACTTCTAAGTGGGGACATCAGAAATAATAAAACTTGTGAACAGCAGCTTAAAAAAAAAATACTAGTCTTATCCTTAAACAAACGAAAGAAATTTGAACTTACCTTGATATTTTCTTCTGACTTAGTTTTATGAGTAGCAGGTGGTACTTTACCCCCCATGCTTAAAATAAGAAAAGACAGTTGTTTAGAATATTGAGCATAAGTTCACTAAAAAGCAATGAACTTATTCTAAAAAAGGTTAAATATTTCGATAACCTTTCAAAGCTTAGAAGAATACACTCTCAATTCATATGAATGCTTTGTTATGAGTAAGGTTGTCAACTTCAAATTGTTTTTGGCACACTAGTTAATAAAACCTTTCCCTAGTCTCTTATGAGCCTAACAAACTCCTATTATAGCTCTCAGCACTCATTCCCAAAGGAAAAACAAAAAGTCAGAGAAGTCAATAAATATACAATGATAAAATCATTCCCTAAGGCATTAGCTCAGAAAACAGGAGTATGGTACATCTGAATGGCAGAATTTGAGGTTGACATCTGGCAAGAGTAAACAGGAGCTCAGTGGTGAAGTGACTGCCTACCATGCAGGGGTCACTTGGTTCTTTGTAAAGCCCCGCTTCCTAAACAGTATAGGACAATATAAAAACAGTAAAATTCAAAGAGGAGGAGAAGACTACCAAAAGATTAACTTTACATGCTTTGTTGTAGATTCTTGAGTCAACAGTAGAATACCTAAGTGGCTGATGGGTAAAAACAAACTAGCAGAAACAAAAGCAATTTAAGGATTTAACATGTAAAACTACAAAAGACCCTTAAATGTCATTTTTTTTTTAAGATTTATTATATATACCTGCACACCAAAAAGAAGGCACCAGAAGCTGGGCAGTAATTCCAGCCTTTAATCCCAGCACTCGGGAGGCAGAGGCAGGCAGATCTCTGTGAGTTCAAGGCCAGCCTGGTCTACAGAGTGAGTTCCAGGACAGGCTCCAAAGCTACACAGAGAAACCCTGTCAAAAAGAGGGCACCAGATCTCATTATAGATGGTTGTGAGCCATGTGAACTCAGGACCTCTGAAAGAGCAGCCAGTGCTCTTAATCTGTGAGCCATCTCTGCAGCCCCTTGTCATTTCTTTCTTAAACTTTTACTGTTGTCCTGTGTGGTGTGAAAGTGCAAGTGTACAAACGGGGATGAGAAGACAACGTTAAGAACTTAGTTCTCTTCTACAAGGGGATCTCAGAACCAACCCAGGTCATCGGGTTCAGTTAGCAAGCAAGCATTCCTACCTGCTGAGCCATCTTACCAGACTACCATTTCTTTTATGACTACAGCTGGACTACCCACATTTACATTCCTTCTCATTGGTAGAATCTGGATGTAAAGTGTGTATCTACGTTGAATTTAGATGGGCATCAGTTTCCAAGTTCTTTACATCAAGTTATCAGTAATGCATGAAAATTGTAGTTATTCAATCCTAGAGTTTGCTATTACCACTCAAAATTTCCAGCCTTTCTCAGATAGTTACATTTCATTGCCTTAAGTTCCTTTTCATATAATGTTGGCCATCTGAAGAGCCATTTTTTATAATCAACTCTCATCCTGGTTTGTATTACATTATCTTATTCATGGGCATTGTTTTATCTTCTGTCCACAAGCCTGGGTCAGTTTCATGTGTTGCAAACATCTCCTCTCATCTGTGGCATGCCTCGATAGGATGAACGGCGCTGGTGGCGGCGCTGGTTACTGGCGGAAAAGTCACGAGCCATGGCCATGACTAACAATGTCTTTTAATAAACTCAACATGAAAACAAGTTCAAATGCAAAGCAGCACATGGAAAAGAAAAATCAATTTTTTTTTTTTGGATTTTTTTGTTTTTCCAAAAAGTTTAGGTGCTTGAGAAATGGCTCAGCAGTTAAGAGCAGTCACTGTTCTTGAAAGGGCCTTGAATTCAGTTCTCAGCACAGACATGGCAGCTCACAACTGTCTGTAACTCTAGTGGAAAGATTTATTTTTATTTTGTGTATAAGTGTTTGTCTGCATGTATGTATATGCACCAAATGCATGACTGGTGCCCCTGGAAGCCAGAAGAGGGTGTCAGATCCCTTGGGACTCAAATGACACACAGTTGTGAGCAATGGCATGGGTGCTGAGAATTACACCTGGGTACTCAGGAAGCAGCCAATACTCTAACAGCTAACACTTCTCCCCCGCCCCTGGTTTTACTTATGAAGACAGAGTCGTAACTATAAAGCCTAAGGTAACCTTCAACTTTTGATCTTCCTACATCTTCTAGTGTATGTGTATGACTTTTCTTTTTAAGGACAAGAAAAAATGTGCAGTTTTTCTGATCTAATTACACACACACATACCCCTTCCATGACTCAATATACTCAATTCCTACATGACAAAAGATCACACGGAGGTGCAGGGGTGACACAAGCCTTTAATCCTAGCACTCAGGAACCAGGTGGATCTGAGTTCAATGCCAGCCTGTTCTACAGAACTAGTTCTAGGACAGCCAAGACCACACACAGAAACCCTGGCTTGAAAAAAAAGAACATGATCCAAAATGCCTTAATTTCCAATTCAGGAAAGCAAAATGATTTAATACCACCACGAACATTTCTACATTAAAAGACAAAGCAAAAAAACACTTTTGAAAGTTACACAGTAACCAAACACTGGCTCTTTGAAGTTAAATTTTAATGAAGACAGGGCTTCTTAAGCTGTGTTTTTCCTAAATTCCAAACTGCAATGTCAGGAATGTAGGGTGACATCCAAACATAGTTACAAACAGTTTCACTCTATGAAGTAATAGCACTGCCAAGAAATGTCATTCTCAGAAAAGCTCAGACAAATCCAAACGGAGGAAATGCTAAAACATCTGGCTTGTAATACTTAAATTGTCAAAACCATGAAAGGCAAGGTAAAATGAAAACTCTAAGAATGAAAAGGAAACATGGTAACAGAATGCACTAGTTACGGGTTGGATAGTACGAACTCACCCTTATTAGTTGTCTGACTTGGATGGCTGCATTGTACAGACTGTCATTATTAGTAGGAAACACACACAATGAAATTGAGCATGTTGGCAGCCTACTATCAGGAATCAATTTTGAACGAGAAATTGTTCCAAAATTAAAAAAATTAAAGAGAACTTCTGCTATACCTCATGTTTTTCACATTCCAAATTGTAGTTCACTACTCCAAGTCCAAACCAATTTTAAATGTAAATTATTGTGATAAATGTTCTCAATGTTCTAAAACTTAAAATAAGCTAGCTTTCTGTAAAAAGTCGACATTTGGACTTTTTCAGCACAGAGGTTTTATTGTTGTTGCTGTTTTTTAATCACTCATCAGACAGGAAGGGGAAGAAACCTACCTCAAATGTTATCACATAAAGCTTCATCATAATTCTCTTGAGAGTTAAAATCTTCAATCTTTGTGCTATTATTTAAGCACATGTACAAACACCGGAGTGTTACAGTCTAAATTCTGTACTGAGGGTAGAAATGCATTCTATCCACTTTCAAATATTTACTCAAAGTCGTGTTCCTGGGGCTTAATTACCACCAAGTGCAATGATTAAAGTAGGCATAAGACACAAAGAAAGAGTAATTAAATTGGAGAATATGGTGTCAGACAATGGTCCCCTCTCAATGAAGAGTAGAACAAAAGTATTGCAAACTGTGTTTGTTTAAAAGAACAGTTTGCCTGGATTTACACTTATTACTGTGAATTCAGATTTGGTTCTATTTCTTTGTCTAATTTTTTTTTCTTTTTCTTTCGAGACAAGGTCTCACTAGCCTTGGCTGGCCTGGTGCTACCCTCTAACTCAAGAGATTCATTCACGGCCTCCACCTCCCAGATGCTGGGATTCAAGATGTGTGTCACCCATACCCACCATCTTGTTATCTTTATTCAATCTAAGTTGAGGGTATTGGGTGGGCATGTGCACAATTGGTAGAGTACTTGGCCTAGGATGCTCTGGATTCAGTCCCCAGCACTGAACTTCCATTTCTGCATATGGGATCATTTTAATTGAGTTTGTATCATTTCTTTCTCCTCTGCATCCTTGTCAGCCATTGCAAATTGGGCTAAATACAGAGACTTCTAGATCCAGGAATACTCATGATATTAACATTCCTGTTATTGTGTTATTAAGAACATTGTTATTAATTAACATAGAGTCGAAACCATTTCAGAGTTCTCTTTTTCCACATAGCCAGTGTCCACTCAAATTTAAAATGTTGCAGCCAGGCGGTGGTGGCACATGCCTTCAATCCAGCACTTGGGAGGAAGAGGCAGGTGGATCTCTGTGAGTTCGAGGCCAGCCTGGTCTATAGAGCAACAGCCAGGACAGGCACCAAAGCTACACAGAGAAACCTTACCTCGAAAAGCCAATAAAAATAAATAAATAAATAAATAAATAAATAAATAAATAAATGTTGCAAGCAGTTTGCTGTAAATGCTGCCATTGTTCAGATTAACTTTATATTTGATTTAAGAATTCATTGGTTACTGGGCAGTGGCAGCACACACCTTTAATCCCAGCACTTGAGAGGCAGAGGCAGCCAGATCTCTGAGTTCAGGGCCAGCCATGGCTACACAGAGAAACCCTGTCTTGAAAAACAAACACAAAAACAAAACAACAAAAAAAAAATGTTTCCCTAAGAGGAATGAGGGAAAACAAAAACCCCAGTATTCTTCCCTTGGAATGTCTGTTTCACCTAGAATTTTAGTAACAATTTGTTTATTTGGGGACCCTTCTTTAACAAGATACAGTGGATCAAAGAACAGAAATATCTTAAGCTTTAAGATCAACAAGCTGTTTATCAGGGGAAAACCACTAAAATCCAGTCCTCAATTCTTTCCCCACCCCACCCCCCTGGTTTTTTAGCCAGGGTTTCTTTGTACAGTTTTGGTGCCTGTCCTGGATCTCGCTCTGTAGACAGGCTAGCCTGGAACTCACAGAAATCTGCCCTGCTCTGAGTGCTGGGATTAAAGGCGAGCACCATGGCCACCTAGCCCAGTCCTCAATTCTTAGTCCTAACAATTATCTAATGGCAACCTGTGGACTTTTTGTTTTTGAGAAAGCGAAGATAAAAAAAAAAAAAAACCAGGATTGCTGAAGGGTGTGCACCAGGGTTCAAAGCCATGTCCCACAGGTACGCCACTAGCCCTACAAAATAGGAGTCTCTTCCATTGTTTTCATAAAGTCACTACAATAATAATTTTTACAGTTCTATTTATTTAACACAAGTAAAAATCCTAGAATAGCTATAAAACTGACAGAAAGAAAAAGAAAAGGCTTAACAGGACAAAAATGCCATCACACAAAACTGACATTTTAACTTGCTTCCTGAGAATATGCTTGTTCAAAGAAATATTCTTATTCTTTTAGTAATCAAAAGTCCCATTTTTCCCACAGAAAATTACTTCTCCAGTTTACTGCTCATGTCTTAACGCAGCACCTATTCACCCTCTTGAAATGCAACTCTAGCATGAGTGTTTGTTTTATTCTTTTGAGGGGTGGGAGTAGGTTTCATCTTTAATCAGGGTCCTGCTGTTTGGCCAGGCTGCTGCAGCCTCAACCTCCAAAGTACTGGAAACTCAGGAACACGTTGCCCCACTGTTCCCACTTAATATTCCCTGCTAGCAGGTTGTTTTTGTTTTGTTTTGTTTTGTTTTCCTGCGGGGAGGGGTATACTGGAACTTGCACTAAGCTTCCCACTAGAAGTCATTTTTAAAAGAATCCCTTCCTGGACAAGAATTGCAGCTCTCCTTTTGTCAGCTGAGGAGCCTCCCTCCAATAGGTAGATTGACTTTTGCTAAACTGATATAAGTCATTCTCAAAACAAATTTTGTACCATTCATCTGTCCTCTCCTCCCCCGTACCCTCTCTTTGGTATCTTGAGACAGGGTTTCTCTGTGTAGCCCTGGCAGACCAGGGAGCCCTCGAACTCACAGAGAACAGCCTGCCCCTCTACCTGCTGGGATTAAAGGCGAGCGCCACCGCCACCAAGCTCACCTGTACTTCGCTATACGGGTATTGGATATTAGAAGGGCTGAAGCCCATTCAAAATGGACCTCTTCCCGAATAATCAGCCTTGGACCACAACTCTTCTTTGTTAATACTTGAAAGAGAAGCATCAGCTTTGCCCTTTGGTAGGATTTAAAATGAGGGTTGGAGAGATTACAGCTCACCAGTTAAGAGCACTTGCTGTTCTTTCAGAGAACCTGGGTTTATTTCCCAGCACCCACATGGTAGTTCACAACTGTCTGTGACAACAGTTCCAAAGGACTGGATACCTACTCTGGCTTCACTAGAAGGCATGTGGTGCACTTGCTAAAGTGCAAGCAAAATACAATAAGTACATCTTTCTAATTAATTTTTAATCATATAAAGGGTCTTTCCTAGGTGGGAGTATCAGGGATGTGGTGAGGCTAAGTAAAGCCACTGCCTCCTGGTCAAAGGAACAGATTCTGAGTTCCTCCTGTCCCTGGAAGGGCACTGCATTCTAAACCACCCAAACATTACACACTGGGGCTGGAGAGATTGCTCAGTGATCAAGAGTATTTGCTGCGTGCCGGGCAGTGGTGGCACAAGCCTTGAATCCCAGCACTCGGGAGGCGGATCTTTGTGAGTTTGAGGCCAGCCTGGTCTACAGAACGAGATCCAGGAAAGGCGCAAAGCTACACATAGAAACCCTGCCTCGAAAAAAAAAAAAAGTATTTGCTGCTCTTACAGAGGCTCCCAAGCAGCATTCCCAGCACCCACAATAATAGTGGAGTACAACCATCCATAACTCTACTTCCAAGGGATCCAATGCCCTCTTCGTCCCTCCCTGGGCCTCAGGCATGCATACACTTGCACAACACTCAATACACATAAAATAACCTAAAAAATGAAACAGCTAGTATGTTGGCAAACGTCTTTAATCCCAATAGTTGGCAGAAATAGGTGGATCTCTGTGAATTTGAGGCCAGTCTGGTCTACATAGCAAATTCTCAGTATGCAGAGCTACATGGTGAGACCTTGTCTCAAAAAAATAAATATTCTTTAAAAAGAAAAGTCACATATTATTTATTGGGGCTCCTCCTAAAAATTTAACCCAACTGGGCTTGTCAATCACCTGGCCAGAAAACCACCTCTCGAAAGAAAAGCTGATTCATCTAAAGACATGCAAAAGCAATTAGATAATTAACAAAGTAAAGCCCAGAATTCCTTCCCTCCACACAGCTGCTTTCAGACCTCCACAGCTAAGCCTGTTTGTTTTTTTTTTTTCGGGGTTCTAATTAAAAAATACAACTTCACCTTTCCCCCATCTCTTCCTTGGATATTAACTAAAGTCCTTAACAAGCTCGACCTGACGCTGAATTTTCCCTTTTCCTGAAGATTCTCCCCCATTTCTACAACTCCCGCTTGTAAGCGTCCACTGCTGACCCTAATTCAGAAGGCATGACTTAACTTTATCTTCACCCCGCCTTCTCCCTGGCAGCTGCAGAGATTTACAGCTTGCCTGCACTGTTCTTCCCCCCGCCCCCCCCAAATTCCCTTCAATCCTGTCCTAAAAATCTTTTATCAACGAGCCTAAAACATCGAAAGGGAAACCCAGTTCCCGAGTAATACTCTTCCCCAGCAGCTGGAACACTATCTACTCACGGAATTCCTCGTACGCAGGCGAAATACTCTCTAGTTAGTCCTGCAAGCACGCTGGCCTTTGAAAAATCATTTTGCTACAGAGTCTGAAGTGACAGCGCTGCAGCTAACGTGGGTATAAATGATTCCCAACACAACTGCATGCAATTAAAAATCCTCTAAGGTACAGTAGAAATAATTTTAAGTTATTAAGTAAGTAACCACTCTAAGATCGTACTTAAAACGAAATATGGGTCAAAGCGACTTCAACAAGACGCCAGTTTAAAGAAAAACAACCCCTCTATATAAATGCTTTGTCTTGTTCCGCGCATTATTTCCAGTGCTCAAATCCCCACAATCCTCCACATTTATTTCTCCCCCAAAACACACACCCCCCCCGAGACTTCACTGGGGGACACCAGGCTCTACCCTCTGCTTTTCCACTCCTAAATCATCCCGAGGCCCTGATCCGCGCGGGTAACTTCTCCGAGCCACGAGGGCCGAGACCCGCTCCCCTCCCGAGGGCCCCCCGCCAGCTCGGGCCCCGCTTCCCCCCTCTTGCCGTCGCCAACGGTCCGCGGGGCCCAGGGCTCACCTCTCCACCCACTCCCTCAGGAAACGCATTTCCTCGGTGTGCAGGACGCTCGGATCCTGCTTACACATCTTCACGAAGGCCCGAAGCTCGCTCACTTTGCGGGGATCCATGGTCGGGGGGGCGGGCGGCGGCGGCGGAGACCCGAGGCCAGGCCCGGGCGCGGCTCAACGTGACCGGGTAGAAGGGGGCGGCTGCCGCGAGGCAGAACAGACTAGAACCTCCCCGGCCGCTGGCTCCTCCCCCCCAACGGCCTCGTGACCCCGGTCCTTCGCTCGCTCATTCCCACTCCCGCTGCCTCCGGACTGGTGCGCCGCCTAGAACCTTCTGGAAGCGTAGCTGTCCGTGACGGTGCCTGCTTCCAGGCCCGAACAGCCTTACGCGTATTCTTTTCCTCTAGTCTCGCTCCTGGGAACAGACGGAGGAGCTCGCGTGTGCGCTTCCGAGCGGGGGACAGGGAGGCACTTGGAATAGGACACTCCGTGGAGGTGGAAGTAAAGCCGGACGAGACGCCCTGTGGGGGTTGGGCGGGGAGCCTCTGGGGCCGGCGCGCCAAAACACCCAGCCTGGTGACGTCACCGTCCTGCGCCGCCCTGGAAAGAAAGCCCGCCAGCGGCGCCTCGGTGCCGGAAGGGGCGGGGCGCTTGGCCGGTTTCCTGGCGACGCGGTGCGGGGCTGGCGGATTCTTTACCAGCTACTTGTACTTGCTCTTCCTGACGCGTGGGTGCTGGCCATGCCTTCCCTGCTCTCAACCCCCAAGCTGGTTCCCGTTATAGCAAGGCTCCGCGGCCTCTCAGGTTAGAGTCTCTCCCGCCAGGGTCCCCTCCAGGTCTTCCCTTGGAGAAAAGCCTAAAGCAGCCCAAAGAGCTACCAATGGATGATCTCTGGTTCTGGACCGGTCGGCTCCTGGGCCCCCACGGATTTTTCTTTCTGGGAAAGTGGGCTTTAGGTTCTGATATTCTGGGAAGCCGAAATGACTGGAGAGGGGAACCCCCAGGGACTGTCCTCAAAGATACTCGAACTCGGAATTTGTATCTTTTATCATCATACTGGGCTAAAGTGTTTCATGTCGAGCAAGTAGCGTTTGTTTCTTTTAGGGCAACGTAAAATCTTTCGGGTTTTCAAAGGTTTCATAGGATAGCTAGCTCAACAGGTAGAAGAAACACGTTTAGGAACAAATGTCTTGTGCAGTTCAGTTTACAAAGTAGTGGAGGTAAGGGAGACGTGGCTAATAGTCCTACATGAACAGTCAGGCTGATAGCGCGGAGAACGTGAACCCTCCGTGTACAGTATGGTGAGCAATTAATCTGATTAACATAAAATTTTATACTGAATGAGTCATCCACCTAGCAAGGGTATCTAATTGGGTTATATTTTAGATGAGTGTGCAAAATGTTAACCAGAAAATAGGGTATTTGACATCAAAAGTTGTCTTGGCAATAATTGTGATACTTGGGTTCCCTGAAAATGAATTTTTTATATCAGCTTTCTATTAAAAAATTGTCCATTGCACCGAGCTTGTTCTTTAAGCTTAGTAGTTGTGCCTTTGATGGGAATGAATGAAAATAAATGTATGATCAGTTATAATCACAGAGGCCTGTGACTAGACTAGAACCAGCTTTTTGCTACTGATCTTTAATAACTTCCTTGAAGCTTTGTGTAAATCCTGATTTGATCCAGCTTTAGGACTATATACCGACCAAAATACATAAAAATCTCGTAAATTTAATACAGTTTGCTTTTAAGCAAAAAAAGTTCAGCATCTTATTAATTACCACTAAATGTTTCATTGACTCTTCAGTTTACCGATAAGGAACCACAATTAAGGCCTAAAACTACATGAAATCAAACTGAAAAAGGAGAGATGACTTGGAGGGCATATTATTACAGTCTGAGATGTTTGGTTTTGGTTCTGGAAATGAATTTTCTTTTTTCCAACTTTAATCCTGCATGGAGACAGGTTAATCTTACTAAATGACACATTTTATGTAGACAGCATAAATTAAAATACCCTATGATTTTATGATTTTATTTTCTGAAAAGAACTTTGGATGCTAATTGTCCCTAGTTTCTCCTAAAGGATAAATTACCTTTCCTGTGAGAATCAGATGATACAAAAGTTCACATTTGCTATGGTAGTTATTTAAAAATAACTGTGGCGGTGGCAGTGGCTCACACCTTTGATCCCACACTTGGGAGGCAGAGTAAGGTAGATCTCTTGAGTTCAAGGCTGAGGACAACCAGGGCTACACAAAGAAACCCATATATTGAAAAACAAAAGCTATATGTGTGTGCAGTTTATAGATATAGATATAGATATATAGTTATATATATAGTTATAGTTATATAATATATACACATATAGTAGTTTATAGTTTTTGGCTTTCAATTTAGTATTTGAAAAAGGTAATAGGTTTTAGTGTTGCTGGATGATTTCCTTGTACCCTTTAATACAGTAATTTACAAGATTTGGGACTAGCAGCTTCAAAATGCCTAGAATTTATGATAATTACATTTCTAAAATACAAAAGAAAACCAGGATATATATGACCAATAAAGGTTATAAAGGAAGATTTTAATGACAGATTGTGTAAGCACAAAAGTCATGCAGCGAGTTGTTTTCCGTGCTTAATAAAGTCGAGCATCTCAGCCAGGATGGTGGTGCACACTTTTAGACCCAGCACTGGAGGCAGAGGCAGGAGGATCTGTCTGAGTTCGAGGCCAGCCTGGTCTCCAAAGCAAGTTCCAGGAAAGGCTCAAAGCTACGCAGAGAAACCCTGTCTTTGGGGGGGAGGGGGGGAGGTGATCATCTCTCATGTAGCATATCCAAAACTTAGCCTCTGGGCTCCTGTCTCACTTAAGACAGTACCATTCTTCTGTTTCCTGTGTTCCAAAAACTGTTAGTCTCAACTTTTGTCATACGCTGTGAGCATATCCTGTTGGCTGTACCTTTTCTATGTATCCTAATGTTAACACTTTTACTCACACACCCCATTGCCACCACCTTGGACCAAACTATTAAAATCTCTTAAATGGATTGTGGCAATATTTTAACTTCTTTTTCTACCTTTGCTTGTTTGAGTCTTTTGGCAACAACAGAAGAGTTCAATTTGCATATGTTATCCCTCTCCTCAAAACCTCCTATGACTTAGTTTCTCCCATGTAACAGTTAACATGCATGTGGTGACCAAGCAGCTCCTGAAGAGTCTGCTTCCTTTCAGGGTTTTGGCTTCATCCATTTGCCATCCTTAGCCTGTGGCACTGATCTAGTGCTCCTCAGACTCCTCTCGTGCAGCCTGCATCAGGAATGTGGCACCTTGCTCGTCCCAGTGTCTGGAAGCGTCTCACCAAATACCCAATGGGAAAACTATAATCCTATACTCCGAAGTTTCTTTGCTCTATCTCTTTAATTAAGCAACTAAAAAAAAACGAGCAGATCCTGTTTGATTTATTATCTGTCTCCAGTTTGTAGACTCGGTGCCTTTTGTTTGCTTAGCACTGTGTACCTCAAATAGCTGACACTGCTTCGCAAGTAGTGGGCCCCCAATAGTAATGTTAAATGAATGAGAGAAGCAGTGGAATGAAGAGGAAAGCATTGTAGAAAGCTAAGATGTAACAGTGTTACAGTAAAAGGTGATTTATTTTTAAAAGAAGCAAATTTAAATAAAATATTTAGCTCAAACCATTTGTTTGGTTTCTAATGTATTTGTAACTCACCATTTTTTTCTCCCAACATGATCCTTAAATGAAATGGCTATAAATATTTTACAGTAATGCATTTGTAGCTCCTACATACAGACACGATAAAACTAAAAAGTTTCATATCTGGCGAGAGTGCCTGGTGGCCTGCAGCTCATGATATGGCCAGATTGTTCCAAGGAATCTTGGGGAATACTCACTTTTTTTTAAAATTGTGGTATAATGCACATTAAATTTAGTTTACCATATTAGACATTTTTTTAACATGCAGTTCATTGGTATTAGTATATTCACATTATTGAGAAGTGGCTTTTCAGAATTTTTATTTTGCAGGCCTGAAGCTCTATACACACAAAACAGCCTCTTTTCCACTTCCTGTCTCAATTAGACTGCTTTAGATACTGTGTTAACATTAATCACTCAGTACTTGTCTGAGTAACTGGCTTATTTCACTTAGCATCTTAAGATTTTAGTATTCTATTTTAGTATTCTTTAGCTCATCTATGTTGTAGCAAATGACAAGATTTTTCAGTTAAAACTGCCCTCAGCAAACTACTAAGCCACAGAAGCAGGCAGTATGCCAGGCCTTTTTTTTTTCTCGTGTGTGTGTGTGTGTGTGTGTGTGTGTGTGTGTGTGTGTGTGTGCGCGCGCGCGCGCACATATGCTCACAAGTGTGACTACTCATCGATTTTTGTTAATGTCTTGGGCTCTTGAGCATTTGGGTTGCTTCTACCTCTTGGATACTGTGAATTAGAACTACTGTGAACATCTTTGTGCGGATATGTCTGGTTACTTCAACCTTCAAATACTTGTTATAGTCTGAACCTGTGTTTCTTAATAGATTTTTATCTCCTAATGCTATGTGCATTTACCAGAAATTTGTAATGATATTAATTAAAGAAATTAAATAGGTCATAAACTCCACCGAAAAAAAAAATTCTATGCTCAAACTGCTCAAAAGCAAACCGTTAAAAAAAACTTTGCAGTTTCCATGGTTTTAAAATCACCATTACACAAATTCACCTTTTTCTGACCTAACCTATTCACACAACTACTGACCAAATGTCCACAATCTTGTTTTTTAAAAAAAATGTTAAGCCATGCACACCTTCAATCTCAGCAACTGAGGCAAAAGATAGGCAGGTCTCTGAGAGTTTGAGGCCGGCCTAGGGTACATAGTTGAGACCTCATCTCAAAAACAACACACACACAAAAACCACGTAGTATTAACAGATGTTACTATAAAACTCTGAATGAATAAAGGCCGGGCAGTGGTGGCGCACGCCTTTAATCCCAGCACTCGGGAGGCAGGGGCAGGCTGATCTCAGTGAGTTCGAGGACAACCTGGGCTTCAGAGTGAGTTCCAGGAAAGGCGCAAAGCTACACAGAGAACCCCTGTCTGGAAAAACCAAAAAAAGAAAGAAAGCTCTGATTAAGCAAGACACACAGAGTGGCGTTCGGATGCTCCATGAGTATCATGTGTCTAAAGAGTGAATTAGCGATTCCTTTTATTTGACCTCTTCTTCTGCCCCTTTTTTTTCCTCCTACCGCCTTCTTTGAATCCTGCTGAGAAAATGGAAGGATCCTTCTTGCTGGCGACCCAAGGTGTACCTTGTTCATTGTTGTCCACAAGAGTACATGGTGATATATTTGGGGGGCTGTGGGAATTTGGTGAATAATTGTTGAATGACTGTCTTCTCCAGTTCCATTTTTCTGCAAAGCCCTCTTCCTCTGCCACACTGTTTACAAGAAAGGATTTCAACTCGTCATCTTCAGCTTCTATATCTTGAGGGTACTCAAAAATTTTCTTTGAGTTGATTCTTCTTCCATTAACAGTTTTGCCTGAAGGGGTAATGGGTATGTAATTGCCCATCTCGGTATCATCAAATGCCAGGGAAGAGAATGAAGTAAGGCCCTCGTGTCCCAGTGAAACGTAAGACATATATCCTGTGTCATAAGGAGAAAGCCTGGTAAACACTGGGTGGTCACAGGAATGGGAGAAAAGGGATCCTGTGTCTCTGCTTCTGCTTCTGTTGGAGCTTCTTGAACTGCTCAAAAGATCCTCCAGTGAGTCTTCAAAGAAGTGAAATGAAAATGGGTCCCTTTCACCAAAAATTTCTTTAAAGACATCGTCTGCCTTACGGAATGTGAAACCATACTCACATTCGTCATCAAGATGACTTCCACCTCCGCCGTTTAATCCCTCCTTGCCATATTTATCATAAACGTTCCGTTTTTCACTATTTGATAATACTTCATAGGCCTCGGCGACTTCTTTGAACTTTCGCTCTGCTTCCTCTTTGTTCTCTGGATTTTTATCAGGGTGCCATTTAAGTGCCACTTTTCGGTAAGCTCTCTTTATGTCCTCTGGTGACGCGTAGCTCTGCACCCCTAGAACGTCATAGTAGTCCGCCATGGTTGGACAGAGTATCGGAGACACACACCTTTGATAGTGAGCACTGTCTTCCTTGCAGCTCAGGCTCCCCGGCCGCTGCTGGTGGTAGAAGTGGCTGCAAACAGGCACATTTTTACATTGACGGGAGTGCTAGTGCTCTGGGTCACTGCTGACATCCCATTATGTGGTCAGCAGGGGGCAGCACATGTCAGAGCTGCATTGTGCTGTCATACTGAGGTAGAGCAGGGATTGGCTCTTCCAGATGCAACTTCCCCAGAGTCATTCTGTGCTCAGCCGCCTCTGCTGATTCTCCCATATCTTTCCTGGAAGCTTTGGGTGCACAATGCCTCAGTGCGATCCGGGCTAATGGCCACAGCATCCCTCCTGTGTATTCTGACTTCCAGATTACTGGCCCTTAATTATTGCACAGTTCTGGATTTTGCTGGTTCATTGATTGGTTGTTTTGTTTTGTTTTGTTTTGTTTTTTTCTTTTCGAGACAGGGTTTCTTTGTGTAGCCCTGGCTATCCTGGAACTCACTTCCTCTGTAGACCAGGCTGGCCTCGAACTTAGAGATCTACCTGCTACTGCCTCCCGAGTGCTGGGATGAAAGGCGTGTGATACCACAACCCAGCTTCTATGTTTTGATTTAGAAAAAATAAAGACTTAGAAGACTTTGGGTGGGGGGGCACTCAAGCAGTTGAGAAATTTATTCTAAAGACATGCATTCAATAGAAGATATAATTTAATTGTAATAAAAACTATGATGGAAGATACACCAAATAGATACACTGGTTGTGTAAAAGGCACCCTGGGCTATAGTCTTGTAAAAGACTTGCTGGAATTAGTAGCCTTCTATTGAAGCTTTCTGCCAGCAGTGAGTCTTTGAGATGATAGGGTCTGTGTCTACTTGATGTTTAGTATAAAAACACGAGTAAAAATCTCGAAGCTCATGCTATGTAATGTGACTGTTTGCCAGAAGAAAAAAGAAAAGTGAATAAAACTTGTGGAAGCTGTGCATTTATGTATTCAGTATATAATGGCTACTTTGTACCAGGTAGTTTTAGCTTCTACTGATAGCCATATTGAATGAAACTAGTAATTTTCAATTGTAATGAGATACAGAATGGGTAAGGTAGTTCATGCTGGTACCCAACGTAGAGGGCTGAGAGCTGAGATAGGGTGACTAAGGAGAACTCCAGGCCAGCCTAAATTACAGAGGAAACTAAATAACAAGAGTATACAGAATGCCCCCCCCCAAAAAAAAAGAGCTGGGTAGTGGTGGTGCACACCTTTAATCCCAGCACTCAGTAGGTAGAACCAGGCGGATCTCTGACTTCGAGGCCAGCCTGGGCTACAAAGCAAGTTCCAGGAAAGGCACAAAGCTACACAGAGAAACCCTATCTCGAAGAAAGAAAGAAAAAGATTATACAGAATGTATAAAATAACTGGCCATGCTCCGGTGGTGCACGCCTTTAATCCCAGCTCTAGGGAAGCAGAGGCAGGATCTCTGTGAATTTGAGGTCAGTCTAGTCTACATAATGAGGTCCAGGACAGCCAGGGCTATGTAAAGAGACCATGTCTCAAAACAACAAAAATGCATAAAACAGCTTGAGAAAATATGATATGTTCTCAAAAACAAATGAGCAGAATTTGATAGACAGGGCAGAGGGTTATTTCACAATGTTTTTTAGAAACTTGTAGGGAGGTGGCCTTAGAGTTTTGTCTGTTTGGCAGTCCTGGGGATTGACCTAGAGCCCACCCAGCATGTGAATGTTAAGTACTGTACCTCTGAGTTAAAGCCCAGCCTCAGACTTCTTTTGTTTGTCTGTCTTGGTTTCTGTTTGTTTTTTTCAAGACAGGGTTTCTCTGTGTGACCCTGGCTGTACTGGAATTCACTCTGTAGGCCAGGCTGGCCTCGAACTCAGAGATCTGCCTGTGTGTCTCTGTCTCTGTGTGTGTGTCTCTCTCTCTCTCTCTCTCTCTCTCTGGGATTAAAGGCGTGCGCCACCACCCAGCTCAGCCTCAGATGTGTGATTTTATTCCTTTTCCTTGTACCACTCCGTTCCTTTGTACCCCATTAGCATGCTCTTACTCTCAGTCATCCTCTGATGCGTCCTCTTTCTAGAAACAATATAAGAGGCAAACACTGCTCTGCTCTGGAGAAGGTTATTTCTCTGGAGGTTTTAAGACCTGTATTTAGGGAAGGCACTCGGGAGGCAGAGGCAGGTGGATCTCTGTGAGTTTGAGGCCAGCCTACTCTACAAAGCAAGTTCCAGGACAACCAGAGCTACACAGAGAAACCCTGTCTCAAAAAAAGTTAGGATAGGGGTAAAAAGATTTTTCTTTCTTTCTTTTTTTGTTTTTTGTTTTGTTTTGTTTTGTTTTTTTGAGACATGGTTTCTCTGTGTAGCTTCGGAGCCTGTCCTGGAAATCACTCTGTAGAGCAAGCTGGCCTCGCACTCAGAGATCTACCTACCTCTGCCTCCCTAGTGCTGGGACTAAAGGCGTGTGCCACCAACACCCAGCTAGGTAGGGATAAATTTCTAAAATATTAAAGTTGCAGGTTACAAAAGAGGCTGTAAAGTTCTTTTTCTGGTTCTGACTCAGGTTATTTTTCATTTTGGGTGGTGGGTAAGTGCATAAAAGTATTTGGTAGTAAAAATATAAAATACAGTGTAAAACTCCACAACTTCTAATTCCAAATGTCTACTCTAACTGTATAGAAGTTCATTAACATGTATAGACTTTAGGTCTGGTTCATTTTGAAATGTGATTTTTTTTTATTTGTAAATTCTTTATAATAAAGTTTATTTTTTAAAAAACATTTTAAGGATTGCTCAATCCCTGCTCTTTTTCTACCTGGACCTGATTTAAGAACAGAGACAGACTTGTAGTGAGTTCAGCCAGTT